ATTATCTTCCCTGTTCTTGGCTTGTCTTTGTTCAAATTAGTTTTTTCTCCTAAATTTTAATCCAATTGTAATGACACACACAATTGCTGACTGTGACAATGACACCGTGATGCATTATGTTATCTAATTAAATCTCCAATCCCTATATCTTTACTATAAAGGAAACCCATAGAGACCAAGCATCTGAATGAATGAGATGAAAACAAAATAGCACTTGTTGCATCTAAGATGTATGCCCTTTACGTCTGCACCTGTCAATAATGTGACTTGGTCAAGAACAAGCATTTGAAGCCCATACACATCCCATAATGATAACATATGCAGAATGTTTCCTGACCTCTGAAGACCACGTTTACGAAAATCGCCCTTGACCTTGTCTAATCACGCACTCGAACATGACCTCTCAAGGTCATACCTGTGATACAAATCTTAAAACTATCCTTGACCTTGTCTAATCATGCACCGATGGATTTGGGTCCATTAAGTCTCACATTTGTATGACCTTGATTATTCTTATTATGCACATTGCAATATTTACCGGAATGTCAAATATTATATGATCATGACCTTATATTCAGATAGCTGTTTGACCTTCAAATATGAAATTATACAACTAGTTGTAAGGACATAGTGATTGATTATCATTTATTGACAGTTATGTCTTGTATCAAACTAAGTACACTGATGCTGCATTGCCTTTTCATAAACAGAACAAGGGAATAGGAAAATTTCTGAATTGAAGGTATTGATACTCTAGATATTAACAACAATAAACTTACAAATTTGAAATAAGCATTTTGGGATATTTAGCTGAGCTTATGCCGTGGTACGGCTTCCGTCCGTCCAATGTTTTAGTTTAAACAAATTTTCTGAATAACCAAGAGGCCTAGAGTGATGATATTTGACCAGTAGCATGCTGGAATGAAGGGATATCAACTGTGTACAGATGAATGACCTTCACCCATTTTCAAGGTCACAGGGGTCAAATATGCTAAAATCTTTAAACAAATTCTTTTTCATAACTAGAAGATCCAGGATGATGATATTTGGCCAGTGACATGGTGGGATAAAGGACTACAAAGTTTGTTCAGATGAATGACCTTGACTTATATTCAAGGTCAGAAGACTCCAATATGATAAACTAAGGAATGGACTAGGGTCGTGATGATATTTGGCCAGTAGCATGCTTGGTTGAAGGCTAAGAATTTGTTCAAGTAAATCACTTCCACCCATATTAAAGGTCACAAGGGACAAATGAGTTGATTAACTTTAAAACAACTTCTTCTAAATAACCAAAAAGCATAGGGTGATGATATTTTGCCATACACATGCTGAAATGGAGGGCTATAAAGGTGTTTAACTTAATGATCTTGTTAGACTTTCAAGGTCACAGAGGTAAAATGTGTTTAAATCTTTTGATAGGTTCTTTTGAATGACCTTTAAGCTTTATTATAGTTCACTTTTAAAATTACAAGTGCGAGATTAATACCAGGTGAGAGATGCAGGTCGATTGGGCCACTTGCTCGATTCTGTAATTTTTTTAAAGGAAATGCTGCTATTAGTGTATTGAGTGAAAGACAAGTCTTAACCCTTTCAACACTGTAAACCATAATGGACTCATCCATATCCATGCATGGTAGAGTCTACTAAAGTTACATAGGGGTGAAAGGGTTAAGTTATATGTTTAAATCAGAGGATTATTAGTCAGCAATGTTCTAACTCTTACTCATGATGAACGGATTCAGTGTAAAACAAGCCCTTTTCACAGGATAAAGGATTATTCAAAGATAAAAGAAGACAACTAGTCAGATAATTGTTAAGGACACTTTTTGTGTAAGCTGTTCTGAATCATACTGAACATGAGGAAAAGGATATTTGTAATACAGATTACTGTCAATGACTTAATGATGTAGAAACTCACACTTCACAGCACTCTTAACCCAAAATCACCTATCTCACCCGCATGATGGGTAAGTACACTTAGAATTGAATGATCTGTGTTTTCTCTTACCGGTTCCATTATAAGCCCACAATTAAAGCAGTAAGTATATTCTTTATCTACAAACAGTGGTCTTAATACATATGTTGTATCACTTTTTTTGAAGAAAGCAAAAAAGCACAGAACTGACAACAGCAACTTTAACGTGAATGATTATTAATGATGTTTCGCCGTAAAATATTTAACATGGGAAATGTATATTTCCTAGTTGTTTAACAAAGATTACTTATCATTTTATGAAAATAGCACCTCTTATCCTTCTGTCATCAGTTAAAAAAGTAAAGAGTAGATAAATTACATTTCTGGAAATAATTCATAAAAGTATTTCACATTCAGGTTGAAATTAAGATTGATAAACAAAAAAAGGTCTCTATTACATTTTTGGAAATAATTCATAAAATTAATCGGGAGATTTTCGGATTAATTTTTTCATGTTCAATTGGAAATAAAGATTGATTAACAAAAAAGGTCTACACATGCATTGTATATGCATATATGTTGTATATATATCTACCTTTGGAAGAAAATCAGTGTTAGCGCTTTGCTGTCATTTAAGTTCTCAGATATCCCCTAGTGTTCCAGTGCCATGTAAAACGAGAAGGGTTGCTCCTCCTCTGTGATGGGTGAACAATTATGAGAACATAACTTACCAAGTCCTAAATTTCACATTTATCATGAGGTTAGCCAAAATGTACGAAAACAAAGACGTAGGACAGGTACATGTTTATCATATAGGGTACGTATGTATAGCTAGGAGTGTTTTGACCAACTGTTCCAGTTTTCACTTCCTTATCATGACAGAATAGATTTCAAAGCGATCAACAGGCATAAATTTTCCAGATATTAACAAATAATTTATAGCATAAAGTTGCCTGGATAAGGCATATATTCTTATATGCATGACATATGACTTGGCAAAGTTTTAAAAAATGACATGGCAAAAGTTTCCCAAAACTCAACAGGGCGAATATTTGTCAAACTGTATTTATAGGCATAGCCATTCCCAAGCTAACATGGCATAATGTTGACAGAATTAATGATGTATGCAAAACAACAAATCCATTCCACTCTCTATCACACAGGCACCGTCAATCTCGCACATGCACCGCTTGTGAAGATTCCACAGGATTGTCACGTGAACATTGCATGAATGCATGCTTGCATGCAGCTGAGATGTGAATTTATGCAGATTTTCTGCAAGGTATATGATAACACAGTACATTTTCTGCTAACAGAAATGTTTGCAAGATTTATTTATAAAATTTCAAAGAAGCAGCTTTTAGATTACATAATCCTGCAGACATTTAACCAATTGGTACTTTGAAGTAGAAATATGAAAACTGACAAATTAAATACTTAATACTCTCAGGTACCTGGATGTGGCATTTGTAGGACATTTACTGTGTTGTTTAGCATTTTTAATGTCAAATAAAAAATTAACTTTTTTTTTTTTTTTTTTTATTACAATAAAAACATTTTACAATCACCACTGAAGACACATTTGAACTTTTTCAATTCAAGGATTGGAATAGCTCATTATGAAATTTCAGGGGTGAATGAATTAATGAAAATTTAAGGTTTGTACTTTTTGATTTTACTGTTTCATAAATTAAAATGATGTCATGGTGATGCATTAACAAGTTGAATTTCCTTCAAATTCTCTCAGATTGTTTTCATTGGATTGCCTCCCTTTAAATTTGAAAATTAAAAAATGTACAAAAAATGCATCGGACCATTGGATATCAAAAATGATGAAACAAATTTTCTTAGTATTGTAAACAACACTAAAATATATTTGACATTAAAATGATTGCATATATGCATATAAATTGACTATATATACTTCTTCCTTTTGCTTCAAGCTAGTGTCTACATATATACAGCTGATATCTATAGTCATTTCTGTACTTCATATGCATAATTCATGCTAGATCTTTTCATTATGGTAATGTCATTTTGCATTATCTAAATAATATATTTGAATCGGCATAGTTTCCTATCTGTTCTTGATGATTGTATATATATTTATCTACATTTTTTAAATCCATGTCTCCAGATAATTTATAGGACCATTGTTGAAAGACATGCTTTTTCACTCTCTTCTCTGGATGTCTGTCATACCTCAAACAGAAAAGCTATTTTGACATGGTTTAAATTTACTATACACGTACTTTGTGTACAGCTCTTGGAGGCATGGTAGTCGAGTGGTAGGATGCAGGGCTCGTGACTGAAAGGTTGCAGGTTTGAGTCACATCACGGCACTGTGTTGTATCTTTGAACAAGATACTTTATTCCACTTGGTCAAGTCTACTCAGCTGTAAATGAGTACGTGGGTGGGCAGTGCTAGAATTGTTAAATGCTAGCTGTGAGTGCCGAAATGGCAGCACCGGCTGTTAGCTCCCCAGGGAGTTGAGAAAGATATTGGCTGGTTGCAAAGACCCTATAACCACGGATAATAATTTGTGAACCGCTTTGAGACGACCTACGAACTAGGTTGTAGGTTGTATATAAGAACCTTGAATTATTATTATTTTCAAAATAAGAAAAAGTTATCATGTACATGTATAAGAGATACCCAGAGTAGAGAAAGTCTTGAGCTGTCTTTCACCTGTGTCCACACCAAAGGTTTCAACTTTTGCTGTTCAGCTTAATGTACAAAGAGGTTTGTAGGGTGTGAGACACTTTCCCTGTGAAAGTTATCAGCCATATCTGTCACATAGTATTTTCAATGTAACTTTCAAACAGAAATCCTTGAACTATAACTTTCATTAATATTATTACAGATTTAAAAAAAATGGGAATTAACATATTAATTCAAATTCTGAATTATAAATACATCTTAACTATAAGATTGCAAATAATTTCTTTCATTAGATTTTGAGAATTTTACCTGAAAATAATTTCTGTTAGGATTATCACATTATCTGCTTTATATTGACAAGGATTTTGTTATAATAATTATTTTTTGTCAAAATCTAACCTGTACCACATCTGTATACAGGAGCCGGATAAGTTCTTGGAGGATCTTGAAGACATCAAGACTATGGAGGGTGAAAAGATGGTTCACTTCACCTGCGGGTTCTGTAAACCTAATGCAATGGTCAAATGGTTCAAAAACAAACTAGAAATCTTCAATGGTCATAAATACCATTTTGAAAACGAAGATCAAGAGTACATTTTGGATATACAGAATGTGAAGTTGGAAGATGCTGGAAAATATACCCTAGAATGCAACGGAATCAAGTCATCAGCTTGGCTCTATGTCGAAGGTAATCATCACCACTGTTTAAACTTGCTGTGTTTCTGTAACAGATCATATTTATATATATGTACACCTCTTAGTGATGTCATAGACCCTCCCTGTGTATACCTCTTAGTAATGTTATAATCCCTCCCTGTGTATACCTCTTAGTAATGTTATAATCCCTCCCTGTGTATACCTCTTAGTAATGTCATAATCCCTCCCTGTGTATACCTCTTGTGATGTCTTAATCCCTCCTCTTGTATACCTCTAGTGATGTCTTAATCCCTCCCCGTGTATACCCCTAGTGATTTCTTAATCCCTCCCCATGTATACCCCTTGTGATGTCGTAATCCCTCCCCATGTATACCCCTAGTGATGTCTTAATCCCTCCCCATGTATACCCCTAGTGATGTCTTAATCCCTCCCCATGTATACCCCTAGTGATGTCTTAATCCCTCCCCATGTATACCCCTAGTGATGTCTTAATCCCTCCCCATGTATACCCCTAGTGATGTCTTAATCCCTCCCCATGTATACCCCTAGTGATGTCTTAATCCCTCCCCATGTATACCCCTAGTGATGTCTTAATCCCTCCCCATGTATACCCCTAGTGATGTCTTAATCCCTCCCCATGTATACCCCTAGTGATGTCTTAATCCCTCCCCATGTATACCCCTAGTGATGTCTTAATCCCTCCCCATGTATACCCCTAGTGATGTCTTAATCCCTCCCCATGTATACCCCTAGTGATGTCTTAATCCCTCCCCATGTATACCCCTAGTGATGTCTTAATCCCTCCCCATGTATACCCCTAGTGATGTCTTAATCCCTCCCCATGTATACCCCTAGTGATGTCTTAATCCCTCCCCATGTATACCCCTAGTGATGTCTTAATCCCTCCCCATGTATACCCCTAGTGATGTCTTAATCCCTCCCCATGTATACCCCTAGTGATGTCTTAATCCCTCCCCATGTATACCCCTAGTGATGTCTTAATCCCTCCCCATGTATACCCCTAGTGATGTCTTAATCCCTCCCCATGTATACCCCTAGTGATGTCTTAATCCCTCCCCATGTATACCCCTAGTGATGTCTTAATCCCTCCCCATGTATACCCCTAGTGATGTCTTAATCCCTCCCCATGTATACCCCTAGTGATGTCTTGTGTGCTGTTCTGGTATATTGACACCCTAAGCAAAGACAATTCCTCACCACGTTCATGACTAGTGATGTCAAGATTTTCTTTTATAGCTAAGGAGCCTGAGTATGACTTCACCCAGAAACTGCCTGCAAAATATGAAATCACTCGTATGAAGGACGGTGTGCTTGAGTGCTTTGTTTCGGACCCGAGGGCAAAGGTGAAATGGTTCAAGAATGGCGAACCAATTGAAGTAAGTAAAAGATAAATATGATTTCTTTTTTATTTGGAAAACTGTTTGATATTTTGAAGTGCTGGAGAGATTCTTTCCCAAAACATCTTTTTTGGAATAAGGAAACAGTGGAATGAATGTATTAATGTAATTCCCAATACAAATAATTTATTTGGTACAAAATGAATAATTAGTAGTCATAAATTACCTCCCTTATATTGAGATATTGGAGATTATTTAAATCCAGAAATATGTACATGCATGTATAGTCCAGTGTTGCTGAAGACATTTATTTACAGAATCCAAGCATGATATAGTATCATGTTACCAGTGGCATAACACATATGTATGCTTGTACACTCAAGCATACACTAAAATTTTTAAAGATTTTTTTTTAATCATATAATTTATTTATTTTTTATGATCAATCATTTTTTATTTATCAATCATAAAAATAAAGATAAAAAAGAAAGTGTTATGTCTCTATATACACATTGAAAAATCTCAAAGGTTGATGAAGAATTCTAAATCAAAAACTAAAAAACTAGAATATTATTCATATAAAGTCAGGTTTTACTTGTTAATAATCAGACTAAAAGGATTTCCCAGAATATGAGAGATTGCTTCTAGGGCCTAGTAGAATTCTTTTCTTCCAGCTATGGGGCAACTCTCCCTCCCATACCCTCCCCCTCCTCCGGTGGTACACACCTCTGATGCTTGACCCCCTGTAGGTATACACTCTGAAAAATGATTTGCTAAGCGACTGGTGAAAGTATTCTCCCGTTTATATATATCATTGTCCATTTAACAGAAATATGACTTTTGAGGTGTAGACAGAATCCAAGCATGATATAGTATCATGTTACCAGTGGTAATCAACAGATCTGTTTAATGGTACAGTTTTCTTATCATTTAATGTTAACTCATTCGTCCCTGAAATATCATAATGAACTATTCCAACCATTGAATTGGAAGAGTTCAAATATGTCTTCAGGGGTGAATGAGTTAATCTGATAATCAAAACAATGTGGTTAGTTCTGTGCAAGCAGGAACTGCCATTGTGATTGGAATAGCAGAAGTATTTAAATGGATTACCGAATCCTACAGATTTATTATCCTAGCTAGAATCTGTAGGTATACAGTGGACCAGGTGATGAAGTGTGAACATTGATAGTATACAATGTGTTACACTTGGCCCTTATTTGTTAAAACTAGATCTAATGCAATCACCCCTGAAGTTTTGTAATGGAACTATTCCAACCTTTGAATTGGAAGAGTTCAAGTGTGTCTTCAGGGGTGAATGTGTTAAAGTGTTATGATTATATGTAGAAGGTTGTCACAGTCCAGTTATTCACTGAAGGTTCAACACCAGACCTATCATAGACTTGTTTCTGATCATAAAAGGATCATACACACATGACCATAACTTTAAGATAAACAATGAGTTTTCAAAGTTAATTTGAATGTGAAAAAATAAACAGGTAAGAGTATAGTGTACATCTGCTTACACTGGAGATCGAACCCGAGATCCCTAGGTTCCTAGTCGGACACTCTACCACTGAGCTAAGGGGAAATTCCCTCTAGCGCGAAGCTAGAAGGCATCTGCCACACTACTCCCCCCTTTTTAAATGTGTTCACCCTCTGATAGACCTTTTCCCGTATTAAACTCGCCGTTTGCGTTTAGGGCTGAGGTCCACTAGCTGGAATGGTCTTGTGAGAACAGCTTTCTCTCTTTCATCACCCTCTGATCCCGTCCTGCGATGGATGTGTGAGTTTTGGTGAGGGCTAACGCCCTTGTAGCGAAGGGGGTGGTTATGCCTGTTTGGATTACATTGTAGAATGTCTGGTAGATGTTCAGGGATGCTCCTTGTCTCAAAATGAGGCTTCTTCTTTTTTGAAGTGCTAAACATATAATCTGGTCTGTTGTCAAAGTCTGACAAGATGAGGCGGTTAGTTTTATTTTTACGTTGAAGTTCCCCCATCCATGGTGGGTTCTTTGATCTGGAGATAAGATTAGAGTTGTTGCTATCTTTCCTATAATTCGCATGTGGCTTTCTCTTGTCCTGAGATGTGGTGTTTTGATCCTTGTGATCTAGGAACTGTGTCGGTTCAAACTGGGGGTGAACACTAGGGTGAATAAAACCACTTGCTGCAGTGCTGTTGTTTAGCCTTGAAGTAAAATCCTCTTCCTTGGAATGAACGGAATGTGTGGCTGACAAACATGATAGATGAATCTTGTCTTTTCTTTTTTCAAGCAAGGAATCTGTTTCCATGGCGAGTTCATTTTCTCCCATTGGAATCAGACTTTCCCTTACAATAGGCATTCTTTTTTTTATCCGGCGTTGGACTGGAACAGTGTTTTTGCCTGACATTCGAGGCATGTAGAACCAGTGAAGAAGTGTTAGTATACAGTTAATGCTGCACTCAGGGACTTTCTTGGTGTCCCAGACACTCTGGCGAATGTCGTCAGACGTTGGTCTCACTGGAACTCGGACCTTCACCATCCAGTTATTTCCTATGATGAAAAAACAGTGTGTACTATGACTGGCTTTGATGAACAGAGACGATCTGACATTGACCCCGGCTTCATAAAGGTTACTTGTGTCCTGGCCAATTAATTCTTCTCCTGCCATTATTATACGACAAGATGTCATGGGATGTGAGGATTTTGCTTGAATTTTCTTTTTGAATTCTCCAATGGTTTGGCAAGTATTTGTATTTGTTTTGTATATAACTCCATCAGGAGTGTGGGCGAAAACAGGAAATGTGTTGAGTTGGAGAAAGAGTGGGGATGTGACATCAAGCACCACACGTTGGACTGATGCTTTGTTGGGAAGTCTCCTTTTACCAACCACGAGCTCATACTGCGTGGCGTTAGGCACACCAAGTCGCTCCAACTTCTTCTTGACCGACCTGACATGTTTGTTTGGGGCAACCCGAATGTTCTCAATGATGCCATTTCCAAGATTCACCCGTAGAGGCATGCCAAACACCAGATCGGTGTCCATGTGAGTCAACACAATATTCATCATGATGACCGTGTTGTTTGGTAGGTCTCCAATCACAGAGGAAAGTTCCATCCGCTGATTGTCCTTGTACAGTCGTACAAGGTCAACTGGTACATTTGTCAAACCATGAAGCATGAAAGCAAGGATGGACCACCTATCATACTGAGACACTGTAATGCCGTACCTCTGTCCTGACTCTGTCACCACGGAAATAGACTGGAGATTGAGGTTACTACGGTGACCGACTGTCGTCAAGGTGAGGGTCTCACCCGTGTGTATGCCAAGATATGCCAGACAGAAGTCAGCTTTGACACAGCTACCCTTGTACTGAAGTACAAGCATATGGATTGGTACATATAGTTCATGTATCCCAGCATCCTCTGGTCCGCCACAACTAAATGTGCGATTAAACACCATGTATATGATGTCAGTACCTGTGCAGCAGGGATCTACATAGAATCTGTAGGTTTTACCCCAGAATGTCTCTATGTTAACCAGTAAGTCAAAATGGGCCTGTATCATGACATACAGCGTACATTTGTTGATGACTCGATACTCTAATAAGCGGCGAGAATTCTCCAGAGCCTTCTCCCGGTAAAGAATTTCTTGACGATCTATCGGAATTCCTTTCATCTTCTTCACTAGAGATTTGATTTTGTAGACGGTCATTGTCACATCTACAGTGAGCGTAAAACTGGCCTTCATCTGACCAATGTCTACTGTGACAAAGGTACAAGAATCTGGCAGGATCATAATGACTGATCCGGGCCGCACATTGTACACCGTTTTAATGTCTACAGGTGTCACCTGACCGGGAGCAAGCAGCATCAGCTTATGCTGGTCTCGTAGATATGATAAGTTCTGCTCGGCATACTTCACAATCTTCTGCATGGTGTCACCAGAACTGGGCGAGAATATGGCAATGCTTTCAAACTTTAGGTGTGACCAGACTGCGATACTCTGTCCGTTACTTCCAGGAACACTTAATATGGGGTAAAACAAAGTGTCTTCAAAGCTATCTTCTGAGTCTAAAGAGTCTGAGTCATAGTCGTCATTTTCTTGAAAAGGCTGTAGGAAGTAGTCATGGTGTTCCCTCTGCTTCGCTGTGTCATGACTGGGCCGTTGGAACTGAAAATACAATACGAAACATGTTGTCCTCTTTTCACAATCTTCATGCTTTCTTTAACAAAACATACAATATGCAATATCAGAATTACACCATTTCAAATTATATAAAATAAACAGAATGTCTGCTCTGTTGAAATAATTAGTCAACTTTACAGTTGTCTCTATTTTTAGAAATGTGTTAACCTAAATAATGTTTCATGTGCCGTTAATGTACACTATTCATGTACTCAGTATATATGTGTAGTCGCTGTAAGACTTGTAGGTTAATGAGTGAGCATCGATGTAATTGATAAATTCACAAACAATATTGAACAATGTGTATTGAAAAACAATAAATAAATAAAAATTTAGACCAGTTATGTTAAAAAAACATACATGTCAGTGATACACACTAGTGTAACTAACTCTGCTGAAGGTGGGACAAGAGGTGAAATAATCTTACATTCTAAGTCCCTCGACTGACCATTCTTACTCCTCCCCTCACACCCTTTCTATCTCATCCCGTACAGTGTACCATATCCCCAGCATTCCTATCCCAGACTTGTTCATTTGCCTTTCTTCTGTTTTTTCTGCCTCCTACTACTGCCTAATCCTCTAGTTTCCTCCTTAGCTCTGCCCCTCCTCATCATCCTCTTTATTGCCCTCTCCCGCCTGCCTCCTTGTCCTTGGGCCAGTATTCATGAAACCGTTCTCATGCTCATGCATGGTTTATGTGCTCAAACCAACATTTGTGTAACTCACTACTATTGTTTCCTTCCTGACTTTTCTCCTTCCCATTTCACTCTTCTGTGTCCCCTACCCAAATTCCTACCTTTGGTTCCTTCCTGACTTTTTCCTTACTGTCTCCCTCTACTGAGTCCCCTACCCCTGTCTCCCTACCTCTGGTTCATCCTTTTTGCTCTCTCTCCATACATTTCCCCCTGACCTGAGTTATCCCCATCACCCACCATTTCACTCTACTGTGTCCCCTACCCAAATTCCTACTTTTGGTTCCTTCCTGACTTTTTCCTTACTGTCTCCCTCTACTGAGTCCCCTACCCCTGTCTCCCTACCTCTGGTTCATCGTGTCCCCTACCCCTACCTCCCTACCTCTGGTTCACCCTTTTTGCTCCTTCTCCATACATTTCCCCCTGACCTGAGTTATCCCCATCACCCACCATCTCCCTCTTCTGTGTCCCCTACCCCTGTCTCCCTACCTTTGGTTCATCCTTTTTGCTCCCTCTCCATACATTTCCCCCTGACCTGAGTTATCCCCATCACCCACCGTCTCCCTCTACTGAGTCCCCTACCCTACCTCCCTACCTTTGGTTCATCCCTTTGTGCCCTCTCCATACATTTCCCCCTGACCTGAGTTATCCCCATCACCCACCATCTCCCTCTTCTGTGTCCCCTACCCCTGTCTTCCTACCTCTGGTTCATCCCTTTGTGCCCTCTCCATACATTTCCCCCTGACCTGAGTTATCCCCATCACCCACCATCTCCCTCTACTGTGTCCCCTACCTCCCTACCTGTGGTTCATCCTTTTTGCTCCCTCTCCATACATTTCCCCCTGACCTGAGTTATCCCCATCACCCACCGTCTCCCTCTACTGAGTCCCCTTCCCTACCTCCCTACCTTTGGCTCATCCCTTTGTGCCCTCTCCATACATTTCCCCCTGACCGGAGTGATCCCCATCACCCACCATCTCCCTCTACTGTGTCCCCTACCCCTGTCTCCCTACCTTTGGTTCATCCTTTTTGCTCCCCCTCCATACATTTTATCCTGACCTGAGTTATCCCCATCACCCACCGTCTCCCTCTACTGAGTCCCCTTCCCTACCTCCCTACCTTTGGTTCATCCCTTTGTGCCCTCTCCATACATTTCCCCCCTGACCTGAGTTATCCCCATCACCCACCGTCTCCCTCTACTGAGTCCCCTTCCCTACCTCCCTACCTTTGGTTCATCCCTTTGTGCCCTCTCCATACATTTCCCCCCTGCCCTGAGTTATCCCCATCACCCACCATCTCCCTCTCCTGTGTCCCCTACCCCTGTCTCCCTACCTCTGGTTCATCGTGTCCCCTACCCTAACTCCCTACCTCTGGTTCATCCCTTTGTGCCCTCGCCATACATTTTATCCTGACCTGAGTTATCCTCATCATCCTCCATCACCTTGTACTTTGCCCCTTACCTCGATATCCATGAATCGGGTTCCCATCTTGTCCCTGTCCCTCGTCCTAACCTCTATAAGTGTACTTATAAACATTGGCACAGGTCGAAAGCTCAATCATTTAAATGCCAGGTGTACATTGTACGTTTGATACACCTGTGCTGTGCGAGATGACCATTGGACTGTAAAGCTGGTCTATTCTGGTTGGCGTTCATGTAACGCTATATCTTACTTCACATCATTGGTATTGTAACAACCGTAGGATCATATTTCTTTGCAAATATTATTTAAAGTCTGGTACAAAACAAAATACAAAGAAGAAACCCGATGTATAGATATATATTTATCTATAACAATATTAATATGGTTCAGTAATATATTTGTTATTCACAAATGTCTTGGCTGTTGAGATTGTCCAATAAGTTGTGCTTAAACAATCTCGTATTATTTAGACGTACTACAAATATAGTATTTCATTCTGAAATAATGAAATGTACTGTTAGAGTGACTGAAATATTCCATATGGTGTAATTCCAATATTGACTGTATGTTCAGCCAAAACACTGATAAAATATTAACACTTACAGTTTATCTCCCAGTTGCCCCCTTTGAATAACATTGTAAACACATCACAGGCTTATATAAAGGGATTCAGTCTTGTTTTAGAGATAAGAAAACAATAAAATATTAATTATGATTATTTAAAGTGTACATATTTTTCATTATCATTATAGAATTATACTCATCATAAGGCTAGGGGCCACGGTGGCCAAGTGGTTTAGGCTCACACAATATGATCCCCTCGTGCTAACATCCAGGGCCAACAAGATTGATTGTTGTAAAATGAATAAAGTTTATATTAAAGGTAAAAGTGTAGGATGGTATAAATCACCTCAATTTTCAGATTTCAGTTAACATTTCACTGGTTCATTGACTGTGAGAATAAAATATATGAATATTTTTTTTTTATATATTTCAGTACACCCCTGGTAAACTGGAGATCCAGAGACGTGAGAACAGGTGTATGTTAAAAATCATCAACGCAAATTCTGACGATGAAGCCGATTACACCTGTACTTGTGGTGACGCGTCAACCTTCTGTAAATTGGCTGTTACAGGTAGACTTGCGCAAAAGACGATCCAGTGGCGTTCATTTCCTCAAAATCTTTTTTATCTTAATTCTTTGATTTAACTTCAAAACAAAATTTGTTATGCTGAATTTCTGTGATTTAACACATAATATATTGACTTTGTACTATATATATATATATATGATATCTAAAATAACTTGTCATTTAAATTGCAGATTTTTGTCGCAAACAAAATCCCCTATTTCTTAGATGTGTTTAGGAGAGAAAGAGAGCCCCGTTTTTGCAGCGATAACACTAACTTAGATTTCTGCCTAGCGATAGTCTATGTTGATGTCATCAGACTAGCTCATTAACTGAATGTCAAATGTACATCCGCCGTGTGCGAGTCAGACCGCATATATGCATGATTTATGTAAGCTTAAGTTTTCTTAGGAGATTTTTATTTTTATTTTCAGATGTTTAGTTGATTCTTGCGCTGCATATATTTAGATTGACTCCTTTTCACATTGTAACCACTACGTTATGTATACGATGTACATTGCGCTGTCTCAAGGACACACTGTACCGAATCAAAATTTATCTCATATCGGACCGCTGTTTAACAAAGCACTTTGTTACAACAAATGTGATTGGTCAGTTGTAGCTGTTAGAACAGATATGATTGGTCAATTTAGTAGCAGTAACTCAATCTTTGCATGATTTAGAAAAGTTAGGCTATTTAACAGCTAAATTGTAGATCTACAACTTTATGATATTTGACAACAAATAATCAACTTTAGATAGTTGACATATTTTTCAAAATTGATTATATCATGTGATATGCAAAAAAAATAGAAAATTGCCTAGAAAATGCCAATATGTTCCACAGATATTTGGTAATGTATCAATAATCTGAGATTTAATAAAATGCTGAAATGTATAATACTATGTTGCTGTAATAGATTTGATAGGTTGTATATACATTGCGCATAAAAGCTAAGCTAAACTGACAAATTACCTCATTATTGCGATAACATATCATGCCATGATCAGTAATGTTCTATATATGTAACTGTGCTGTGCTGTATATAATTTATTTATGTTTACAATGTAAATAGAATTTTTATTTATGAATTTTGACCTTTTATGATAATGAAACTGATTAATGATGAAATTTTGGCAATTGATATTGACTCTGACCTTCAACCTTTGACACAGACCTACAATGATTTTAACCTTTGACTCTACCTAGAACCGGAGTGGGACTTCATGAAAAAGCTGGATGACATCGAGGCTATGGAGAGAGACAAGTGTTACTTTGAATGTGATGTCAGTGACCCAGAGGCTGAGGTCAAGTGGTATAAAGGAAAGTCAGACAAGGTCAGTTACAGCGTCATCATTATTGTAACATATCACTGGTTAGGAATATATATATATATTTTGGTAAAAGTAACTTTTTAGATAGCATACATTTTCACAGATGTAATGATTTCCTGAATTAGAATCATTAGACGTGAAAAGATTTAGTCTTGAGTATGCAATCAAAAGTAAATATTTAAAACACAACACATCTCCAGCAAACACGCAGGCATACACACAGAGGGAGATATAAGCCAAGTGGCATAGGACTAGTAGTTATCTCCTGATAAGGCAGCTCCTGCAAATTCCTCAAAAATTGTATTGATTAATGTAATATTGTATATCTATGTACTGTAAAGTACTTTTAGAGTGGCTTATTCTAGCTAAATAGGTCGTTATATCAAATGTTGTATATATTTAAGCATTTTGAAAACACACCATTTTCTTGCATTCAGAAAATATTTCATCAGTTTCCACCCATGGTATTGTACAGATTGAGTGTTTACAGATGCTAACTTTATTACACGATAGGAGTTGCCATCTGGTGGTAAATACGAGATCATAAAGGATGGAATGAAGCGCCGCCTGGTGATAAAAAATTGTAGCATGAAGGATGGTGGAAAGTACACATGTAAAGTTCTGACTAAGGAAACAACGGGAGAACTCTTCATTGAACGTAAGTCCAGATTGTCGGTCATATCTTCATGCTTTAAAAAAAAATAAAAAAATCTCTCATTTCCATGTGTGTAAGATATAGCTGTCCAGGGTAGGAAAGAGGTGTAAGAAATGTCTATCCTGCACCCCATTTCACGTGTCTGATGTCACAATGGCTCAACAAGGATGTTATGTGACAGAATTTAGAAAAGTCCAATGCCGCAATGCTGAAAAGAGGACGTGATGAAATTAAACCTTTTATGATATATTTACCGTACATGTAAGAAAATTTGTTTTTGTCAAAAAAAACTCGGGGGGAAAATTGATATTTTCAAAATAGTAGCCAGTTCAAACTCATTTTCATGGTTTCTGAGCTTGTTCTGGTTGTTGGAATGAGAGAAAATTCTCTTTCATGCCCAAGGGTGTAGGATAGGGAAATTTCACCCCCAGGATTTTGAATTTGGCAAAACCCTCGGCAAAGCCTCATGTTTTACCAAATTTGAAACCCTCCCGTGGAATTTCCCTATCCTACACCCCTGGGCATCAAAGAGTCTGATAATAAATTTTTTATTTCCACAAAATCATGATTATTCAGTTAATAAAGAAATAGAAAAAATATGTGAAATTTTATTTGAATATCATGAAAAAAACCCATTGCAAAATTAATATTTTCGTAATGTTGATAGTGAATAAACATGTGTTATTGTACTTTTATATTTGAATGCAGCTGACATCAAGTTCTTCAAGAAACTTGAGGATAAGAAAGAGAAAGAGAAGGGAACTCTTATATTGGAATGTAAAGCATCTAATCCACACAACCAACCTGTACAATGGCTTCTCAACGGCAAACCAGTGGACAAGGATGACTCGTAAGTCACACTTTTTGTTTAGATCCACCTTAAACGGTTACAGGAAAGAGAGTAGTTTGCTTCCACCGGGGATCGAACCCTCAATATCCAGGTTCCTAGTCGGATGCTCTACCACTGAGATAAAGGGAAAACCCCTCTAGCTTGTAGCTAGAAGGCAACTGTACATGTAATCCTATGTACAATTAAAATCTGCCACACTACCCAACACCCCACTTTTTAAATGTGTTCGCCCTCCAACACCACAACCCATCTGCTACTGTGGAGGGCCACAGATACTATTTGTAACAGGAAAGAGAGTAGTGTGATTCCACCGGGGATCCGAACTACAATCCCAGACTTTCTCATCAGACATTCTACCACTGAGCTAAACAGAAATTCCCTCTAGCTTGAAGCTAGAAGGAAACTGTAACTCCATGTGCAATTAAAATCTGCCACAAAAGTAACTGTAAATCTATAGAAATTTGCCATCAAAATATGGTGACAGAAGTTGTAATATTGTGTAATATATGTGTATTGTCATAAATATAGTTATCCATTAATCGGCCATATTAATTAGGTTTATGTATTAGGCATTGAAGAAACTAAATGTCTTTCTAATTTCTTTGAACAGCTCAAATTTGTTCCTCCAGATTCTTTTTCTTTCTTTTCTGAATGAAGAATGAAGTGTTAAGACAAACAACATTAGCTGTAGTGATACAACACACATTGCTAATGATGACAAACTTACATAAAGCTTTATTAAGTTTGTCATCAATAGCAATGTGTGTTATAGGACCATAACAACATTAGCTGTAGTGATACAACACAAATTGCTAATGATGACAAACTTGCATAAAGCTTTATTAAGTTTGTCATCAATAGCAATGTGTGTTATAGGACCATAACAACATTTGCTAAATCATTCATTGCTTAAATATTACCTTCCTGATTACAGGAGGGTGGAGATTACCAAGAAAGGAGAACAAAACAAAATGGTTATCAAAAACCTGAAGCAGGAAGACAGTGGTCAGTACACGTGCCAGGTCGGGGAGAGGCCCTGTCGTTGTAACGTCACAGTGGACGAACGTAAGTGCATGTTACAATTGGGTGTGGAGGTCAACTGTTCTCCTTAAGGTGCCAAGACTAGAGCTTATAGACACTTTAGCTAAGGTCCAGGACCGATTGTTAAGTATCTGCAGAATTGTTTTTTTGACTCATCAGGAAGAATAAATTATCTGCGTACAGTTTTCTCATATAAATTCCTGTTAAGAATTTGTTTAATTGTTAAAGCTTTAAAATTGTGTTGGGTCAAACTATAATTCAGACCTGTGTTTTTTCAAAATAAAGATTATAGCTTATTATATTTTTATTAACAGTGCCCAAACCACCCAAAGTGGATCCAGCATTCATCCCAGAGGAGATTGTTGTGAAAAGAGGAGAAACTATTGCAATGGCTATTCCTTTTGTTGGTAGGTCATTCTAATTATACACTGGTTAATGTCTAATTCATAATTGCCAGTTTGAACAAATCATCCTTCCAGTCTGCATGAATCCATAGTTTGTTTCTATTTCACTATATTTATGATTGTCTTTGACTGAGTGAAGATTTGACAGCTTCCTTTGTGCTGAACACTGTTGGATAAGATAGTATATCCTGGTACCTCAGTGACGCCACACATCACGTGACCTCCTTTCCGCACTAAAAATATGCATATTCGCTAGACTGATAACGCGGGGCGGTTACCTGGTCTGTCCGTCATCAGAACGCCGCCAGAGACAGAATCTCAATCATAAACGGTGTCAATGCATCATTTTAGTGCAAAATATCACAAAAAGAAAAATCGTGGCCAAAATCTTTACAATTGTTTTCATGCTCTTTACAACTGCAGGCACTCCCAAACCATTTGCGTCCTGGAAGAAGGATGGTACTGGTCTGAGTGAGGCTGATACTGACATTGAGACAGCTGACAAAGTAGCCAAGCTTAACATCCCTAACGCACAACGAACTGACACAGGAGGGTACGAACTCACCCTCACCAACGAGGTTGGCACCGAGGTTATCCCCATCAATGTCAGGGTTCTTGGTAAGTCAGTAAAACTAAAGTTATATTAGAGGCCCATTATTAAATCTACATTTATTATATGACTGGTGCTAAATCCCAGCCCTGATTGGAGGAGCGACGTCATGTGACGAGTCTGTAAATCTGGGTGAATAGAAAGGTGTGTTAAGACCTCGATCTATAAATAGACAAGTGTTACAGACTGCTACTAAAAATAGCCCTAGGTAATTTCCCAGCCAGTCTGTAAATCTGTTACAAATCACACTGCTGAATTCAACTACAAATGAATTATCTCATCCAATTCAGATCCATATGATGCTATAGATGATGTCAATTTTACAAATGAATTATCTCATCAAATTCAGATGAGAACCCATTATGAAGACCCCTCCATAATTCAATAATTTCTAACTAATTTTCTGACTGATGTCACATGTGATTTTTATTTACTTGAAATTAAATATCACATGAATTGAATCTGAAATTGTAGAATTACCAGTGTGAATATTATTCAGACCTGGTTCGTAAATCAGGTATAGACCTCACCTGAAGTCCATAATTGTATAATGTACCTGATATCATATATAGACCTGTCCTGTTTACCTTACAGATGTACCTGGGCGTCCCCAGGGCCCTCTGGATGTGGTAGATGTGTACTGCGACCGCTGTGCTCTCCTTTGGGACCACCCTAAGGAGGACGGAGGCTGCCCCATTAAGCATTACATTGTGGAGATGAAGGATGCCGACAAGGACGCGTGGGAGCAGGTCTGTACCACCGAGGACCTGGAGATTGACGTTTCTGACCTCAAACCAGGACACCGCTACCAGTTCAGAGTGAAAGCCGTTAACGAGCAGGGAGTCAGTGAGCCACTCACTGCTGATGGAGAGATTATTGCTAAAGATCCATGGGGTAAGACTATGTATTTTCATCTTAAGATTTAATAAATTATTACTTATTTACATAATCAGTGACTTCAACCATGTAAAATACCCTGATAATGACTTTAGTGGATGTTATATTCCTAACCCAATTTGTGTGAATCAAGATTTTAAGCTATATATTTCTATTCCTTGTCAAATTCCACAGTTTTTCAATTTGCTGCTGAACATTTTCATGTTAAACATGCAATGATGCCACATTCCATCCCTGATTTCGTGATCGCGAACTAATAGTGACAGTTACTCCATGTTTTAGAGATCATAAACTAACTGTGACGACCCCTCCATGACTTCGAGATTTCAAACTAAAAGCGAATCATAATTTAAGATCTGGAACCAATAGTGATGACCTCTATATGATTTAGTGATCTTGAACCCATTGTGAAGACCCCTCCATGATTTAATAATTTCTAACTAATGGTTAAACACAATACATAATGTGATAAGGTGGAACAGAAGATGTGTACAGGTCTGTATAGCCTAATTATCATGACTTTGTTCCCACAGATCCCTCTGATCCCCCTGGTGAACCATCAATTCTTGACTATGACAAAGACTATGTAGAGCTTGCCTGGGCTCCTCCCAAGAACGATGGAGGTGCTCCTATTGAGAAGTATGTCATTGAGAAGAGAGAAAAAGGAAAGGACAAATGGGATAAGGTATGGCAGTTTTTGATTGGCTGATGATTTCTGCCCATTATCTTTCCAAATGTGAGTGATTTTCTGAAACAATATCGAATCAATATGTTTTGATAGAAATTTGGTCAGTTTGATTATGTCCCTAACAATAAAATTAACTCATTCATCCCTGAAATTTCATAATGAACTATTCCAACATTTGAATTGGAAGGGTTCAAATGTGTCTGCAGGGATGAATGAGTTCAGGGTTTACTGGTGTACTGTCTTTATCTGTTTCTTTGTCTGTCTCTCTATATCTGTCTGTCCATCTGTCCATAAAATCTTACTTTGGTAGCTCTTAAATTAACGAATTAATTTCAACAAAAAATGAATGAAGTTGCACACTGATATAAATATCGGTTTTTACTTTTCTGAGAGTTGTCCTCTTTGATAATTTCAAGCCCTGTTGAGACAAGTATTCCAAATTTTATGACCATGATGAAAATTTGTGGGTGTATAACATAAGGGATATATTTTGATATACGTATAATGAACAGTAAAAGTTATAACATTGTTACTGACTTTTTTTATACTTTTTTGGGAGTGATACACAGGTAAAATAGCTGCATCCGTTTTATGGCCGTGGAAAAATACATTCGTAAAATATACGTAAAACGTTTGTATTATGTAAAGATACGGGAGACATGCATAATATGTCCGTTTGTAAACATGCAAAGCGGACGTAGTTTTTTGTACCTTTATTCATAGATCACCTTTAAAATAAAAGGCAGACTTTAAATTTTTGGTATTCAAAATGGCAGCTATAGCCTCTATCGTAGTGAGATAGTATTGGTCATTGAGGTGTATGGGGCCGACAAGTTGACACTTTGTGGGAGCCATACACAGGAGATCAACTGTACATATAAAGTTACCAAAATCATGACCTGTACAACCTTTGTCCTCTCACTTTTTTACATGTGTTAATTCTTGACTCTACTATTTCAGGGTGTGGAAGTACCAGGCAGTGATTGCCAGGGCACGGTGGAAGGTCTTGTTGAGGGCAAAGATTATGAGTTTCGTATTATGGCCAAGAACAAAGGAGGCTTGTCTGAGCCCAGTGTGGTGTCACCACCAGTCACAACCAAGGCCAGGCGAGGTAATCCTGTCAATGCTCCACTCACAAACCCAGAAGTCTGATCTTGGTATTCCCACACACAAACCCAGAAGTCTGATCTTGGTATTCCCACACACAAACCCAGAAGTCTGATCTTGGTATTCCCACACACAAACCCAAAGGTTTGATCTTGAAACCTAGAAATGACGATAATTGTTCATAGGACATATTAAAACACAAACAAACCCATATTTTGACATACCCAATTTACCGCTGGTCAAGTATCTTTATGATAAAAACTTTGATAAATTATATGATCACTGACACTTCCCAAGCAAGAAGGAATACAAATGTACCCAATTTACCGTTGGTCAAGTATCTTTATGATAAAAACTTTGATAAATTATATGATCACTGACACTTCCCAAGCAAGTAGGAATACAAATGTACCCAATTTACCGCTGGTCAAGTATCTTTATGATAAAAACTTTGATAAATTATATGATCACTGACACTTTCACAAGCAAGTAGGAATACAAATGTACCCAATTTACCGTTGGTCAAGTATCTTTATGATAAAAACTTTGATAAATTATATGATCACTGACACTTCCCAAGCCAGTAGGAATCAACATGTCATACTGATATTCAATGTTTATAGTGAAGCCTAGGATTATGGACAAAGACAAGCTGATGCAAGTGCGTGTGAAGGCCCCTAAGGAGTTTGCGATAGCGTTGGAGTACGTCGGGGAACCAGTACCAGAAGTCAAGTGGACCAGAAAGCTATTGGTATGTTAATAGGACATCCATCGTGTTTTGTGCTGATTCCATATCTTGTCAAATTGGAATTGATCATTAGATATTGTATGTCAGTTTTTCCAAAAATTGAAACACACATTCATTCACTTAACTAAATTTTCAATTTACAGTTCAATATTTCAGTACAAGTGTACATGTTAACCCTTTCACCCCTATGTAACTTTAATAAACTCTTCCGTGCATTGATCTGGTTGAGTTCATTATTATCTACATTGATGAAAGGGGTTAACTGAAATTCTGATTTGAAGTGATTTGTTTTACAGTAGTTGTAGTACAATGTAGTAAAAGTTTGGTTTATAATTGCCTTGTTTTGAATTTAGCTTTAAGTTGTTTTTTAGTTTAGAATTTTTTTGTTCCCCACCTTGTGATTGTCCATTCAGGTTCCGAATAATTCATCTAGGAATTGATAAATTGTTTACCAACCATACATTGTTGAAATGCCTACATTAGACTTGACCTGAACTTTTTTTTTTTTTTTTGTGAAGTGGGAACTTTAATTTCACAAATGTGTTTCAAATCGAATATTAACAGTTAGTCGATCTGTAGATTATTTTATTATTATTATTTTATCATTTCAAAATAAACTGTAGATATAGCTTTGAATTCCTGCAGTGTTATTTTTGCGTTTTCATCAGGAATTTAATATTCGTGCAGTGTAGAAATTGCAGAAAACAGGTTGGTCAGTGTCTGTTATTTTTACATTGGTTAGATGCTATCATGTGACTCTCATGTGACACGGGTACACCCACAGCTGATCGGTCAGGAATATAAAGGCACGTCAATAGAATAAAATCATGTGTGACGAGTAACAATAGGTGTTACCTAATAATAGCCTTGTCACACTGAAACTGCCTCGAAAAAAGTGCAATTTTAATAATCTGTAATGTTTTTAATTCATGATGATATTTGTCAATAAAGAGACCTACAGGTTGTACTTTGTATGACTGTTTGTTCTGGGCTTTGACCAGATCATACAATCTTGCTTGGAGCAGGAAATATTTGCCACGTTCTTCAATTTGCTGTTGAATGCTTCCGCGAAAATTGCGAAAATAACACTGCCACGAAAAACTACCCCATATACAGCAAATTTACCAGATAAGTAGAGTAGAGTAGTTATACCTCCACCTACTAAAGGGGGGAGGGGGGGGGGGGGTTAAATAGTAATTACTTTGTCAGTGTGTGTGTATGTGTGTGCATGCTTTTTATAGAAAAAAGTCTGTGTACAAGATATCTCCTGAACTCCTGAACACATTTTAACTCATATTTACACCATAGTATGGTAGTATCAAGTTCTACACCTGATTAGATTTTGGTGGTCATTAGGCAAGGTCAAAGGTCAAGGTCAAGGTCAAAGAATATGTTTTTAATACATATAAAGTCAAAACTGATGTACAAGATAGCCAGGAATCCCTGAACAAGTTTAGTTTTTATTTACAGCGTAGCATGGTAACATTGACTTCTACACCTGAACAGATTTTTGTGGTCATTGGTTAAGGCTAAAGGGTCAAAGGTCACAGGCAAAAATCAAGATTTCATTTCAATTTCAACTACTTTTATTGTTCAATATCAAATGAATTGGACTACAGGCAAAATTAATCAAGATCACACTTAACCACTTTTGAAGTAAAAAACTTGTATACAAGATATCTAACAAACCCCTATTTACTTTATATTTATACTATGGTATGGTAACATGAAGTTCTAAAACTTGTTAGGTTTTTGTGGTGAGTGATTTTTATTTATTCCTGAACTTCAAATATACATTATCTATAACATGTGTCTTTTTCATGTTTCACTCTTCAAGATCTTTTGTTCAAAATCACATCCAAGGAAAGTTGATACATGTTGAAATATGTATATTATTGGTTCAGTGAAAATGTGTACCTTTTCAGCGAAACTGCTATTTATTTTGGTTGATTTTGTTGGTGCGAATGTTTTTTCATGTAGATAGATGCTTAGTTTTATTTTATTTGAATTAAATTATTTGCTACACAGGCTGATCTTAAGAAGAAGGTGAGTGACACGTTACTGCAAAAGTGACAATGCATCTGACCAGAGTATGAACAATAGGATGCTGTACTGTGCTCCTTCTGTGGTCTTTAGATAATCTGTTTTGAAAAAAAAAGATTGGCTCCATCAGTCATTGTATTGAAATTTTCGTTATTTTTTCTTATGTTTCACTAAAACTCAAGTGTCAGACCAATGCAGCCTGACGATACAAATATATATAAATACATTCTAACAACTATATTTTCACAGAGAATTCTGTGGAACAAATCTTTTTTTATTCGATTTTGTCTATAAACACAGAAGTAGGAAGACATACAGACAGGATGACAGTTCCTGATAATTAAGGGATTGATGTATTAATGTCTGGTTAGCTGTTCCCCACTGTTGGCAATCTCCTAATCAGTCTACATTCTCAAACAGGATTTTCACTCAAGGTCATATTTCTTATGAGGTTCTCTGAAGACTGCTAGTAAAATAAACAAACCAAATTTAGCAATAATCATCAAGGAAAATCCTGAGTTTGACGGGCTAATGATTCAAAGACAACTCCAAATACTGCTTAAAGTTTGATCAGGTAATTTCTTTGCTTTTCATTGCTAATTCAGATTGGTTCATAATTTTAATGTCATTGTATTTAAAAATAGCCTCTTATTATACAGTGCCAATCAGACATTATGCTCCATCGTTCCCATGACAACCTAACTGTTTAATATCTTTTACTACTAAAGAAGTATGCTTTTTCAAAACAGTTCTTTTTCTATTATCAATACAGTTTTCTCTCGTTTGAACTTAAGACTAAGAACTTTTCTTTATTATATTATTTACTTATTTAACAATGGAACTTGTGTGCCTTATAAAATCACAAGTTTTGTGTCTCGTACCATATTCATTGCAGTTATCTCCCCTGCTCTTTATTTCCTCTGTTTTTTTTAAAAACTTTAATTTGTACAAGTGTACAATAAGTGAGATATCAGAGAGTATACATTCAAGTTAAATTTCACCTTGAATTTGTATTCACAATTTAAAAAGAAATATTTTAAACATAAGTGGGGTCTATTGTGTTGAATATGGTATGTTTTCTATTAAATGTTTGCGATGCCTGAGTGATACCAATATTCCTAAGAAAACAAATTTCTAAGCTAATATACCAGGAATCCAACATATGACCTTCACAAATGCTCAAGTGGTTGACCTCAATGAATGACTTCCCAACAGAGTAGCATGTTGTCTGGTTCAAACTCAAAACTGTTCTCTGCCAAAAGTCCAATGATTTATGAAAATAAATAAATAATTATCACTTTGTTGTTATAATTGTATACTCCCTTGGTAACCACCTTGTTGCTTAAATTGTATACTTCCTTGGTTACCACCTTGTTGCTTAAATTGTATACTTCCTTGGTTACCACCTTGTTGCTTAAATTGTATTCACCCTTGGTTACCACCTTGTTGCTTTTATTGTATTCTCCCTTGGTTACCACCTTGTTGCTTTTATTATATTCTCCCTTGGTTACCACCTTGTTGCTTTTATTGTATTCTTGCTTTTATTGTGTTCTCCCTTGGTTACCACTTTGTTGCTTTTATTGTATTCTCCCTTGGTTACCACTTTGTTGCTTTTGTTGTATTCTCCCTTGGTTACCACCTTGTTGCTATAATTATATACTCCATTGGTTACAACCTTGTTGCTATAATTGTATACTCCCTTGGTTACCACCTTGTTGCTATAATTATATACTCCATTGGTTACCACCTTGTTGCTATAATTGTATACTCCCTTGGTTACCACCTTGTTGGTATAATTGTATATTCCCTTGGTTACCACCTTGTTGCTATAATTATATACTCCATTGGTTACCACCTTGTTGCTATAATTGTATACTCCCTTGGTTACTACCTTGTTGGTATAATTATATATTCCCTTGGTTACAACCTTGTTGCTATTTTATATTGATACATTCCCTTATTTACAACCTTGTTCCTATTTTATGTTTATATATTAACTTGGTTACAACGTTGTTGCTATTTCATATTTATATATTTCCTTGGTTACCACCTTGTGGCTATTCTATATTGAAATTGTATACTCCCTTGGTTACCACCTTGTTTCTATTTTATGTTTATATATTCCCTTGGTTACAACAACCTTGTTGCTATTTTGTATTTATATATTTCCTTGGTTACCACCTGGTGGCTATTCTATATTGATATATTCCCTTGGTTACCAACTTGTTGTTATTTTATTTTTATATACTCCCTTGGTTACCACCTTGTTGGTATAACTATATATTCCCTTGGTTACAACCTTGTTGCTATTTTATGTTTCCTTATTCCCCAGGTTACCACCTTGTGGCTATTCTATATTGATATATTCCCTTGGTTAGGACCTTGTTGCTATTATATATATATATATATTTCCTTGGTTACCACCTTGTGGCCATTCTATATTTATATATTCCCTTGGCTAGGACTTTGTTGCTATTTTATATTTATATATTTCCTTGGTTACCTCCTTGTGGCTGCTATTTTCTGTTTATATATTCCCTTGGTTACAACCTTGTTGCTACTTTATGTTTACATATTCCCTTGGTTACAACAACCTTGTTATTTTATATTTCTAAACTCCCTTGGCTACCACATTGTTGCTATTTTATATTTCTATATTCTTTTGGTTACAACCTTGTTGCTACTTTATGTTTACATATTCCCTTGGTTACAACAACCTTGTTATTTTATATTTCTAAACTCCCTTGGCTACCACCTTGTTGCTATTTTATATTTACATATTTCCTTGGTTACCACCTTGTTGCTTAAATTGTATTCACCCTTGGTTACCACCTTGTTGCTATAATTGTATACTCCCTTGGTTACTTCCTTGTTGGTATAATTATATATTCCCTTGGTTACAACAACCTTGTTGCTATTTTGTATTTATATATTTCCTTGGTTACCACATTGTGGCTATTCTATATTTATATGTTCCCTTGGTTAGGACCTTGTTGTTATTTTATATTTATATACTCTATTGTTTACCACCTTGTTGCTATTTTATATTTCTTTATTCTTTTGGTTACAACCTTGTTGCTACTTTATGTTTATATATTCCCTTGGTTACAACAACCGTGTTGCTATTTTATATTTACATATTTCCTTGGTTACCACCTTGTGGCCATTCTATATTTATACATTCCCTTGGCTAGGACCTTGTTGTTATTTTATATTTATGTATTCCATTGGTTACCACCTTGTTGCTATAATTGTATACTCCCTTGGTTACTTCCTTGTTGGTATAATTATATATTCCCTTGGTTACAACAACCGTGTTGCTATTTTATATTTACATATTTCCTTGGTTACCACCTTGTTGCTATAATTGTATACTCCCTTGGTTACTTCCTTGTTGGTATAATTATATATTCCCTTGGTTACAACAACCTTGTTATTTTATATTTCTAAACTCCCTTGGTTACCACCTTGTTTCTATTTTATGTTTATATATTCCCTTGGTTACAACCTTGTTGCTATTTTATATTTCTATATTCTTTTGGTTACAACCTTGTTGCTATTTTGTGTTTATATATTCCCTTGGTAACAACAACATTGTTGCTATTTTATATTTCTATATTCTTTTGGTTACAACCTTGTTGCTATTTTATGTTTCCTTATTCCCCAGGTTACCACCTTGTGGCTATTCTATATTGATCTACTCCCTTGGTTACCAACTTGTTGTCATTTTAGCTTAAATTGTATACTTCCTTGGTTGCCACCTTGTTGCTTAAATTGTATTCACCCTTGGTTACCACCTTGTTGCTATAATTGTATACTCCCTTGGTTACTACCTTGTTGGGATAATTATATATTCCCTTGGTTACAACAACCTTGTTGCTATTTTGTATTTATATATTTCCTTGGTTACCACATTGTGGCTATTCTATATTTATATGTTCCCTTGGTTAGGACCTTGTTGCTATTTTATATATATATATATTTCCTTGGTTACCACCTGGTGGCTATTCTATATTTATATGTTCCCTTGGTTAGGACCTTGTTGCTATTATATATATATATATATTTCCTTGGTTACCACCTGGTGGCTATTCTATATTGATATATTCCCTTGGTTACCAACTTGTTGTTATTTTATATTTATATACTGCCTTGGTTACCACCTTGTGGCTATTCTATATTTATATATATCCTTGGTTACAACCTTGTTGCTATTTCATATTTATATATTTCCTTGGTTACCACCTTGTGGCTATTCTATATTTATATATTCTCTTGGTTACCACCTTATGGCTATTTTATATTCATATATTCCCTTGGTTACAACCTTGTTGCTATTTCAGATTTATATATTTCCTTGGTTACCACCTTGTTGCCATTTTATATTTATATATTCCCTTGATTATAACCTTGTTGTGGTTTTATATTTATTTATTCCCTTGGTTACAACCATGTTGCTATTTTATATTCAAATATTCCCTTGGTTACAACCTTGTTGCTTTTTTATGTTTATATATTCCCTTGGTTACAACCTTGTTGCTATTTTATATTTATATACTCCTTTGGTTACCACCTTTTCGTATTTTATATATATATATTCCCTTGGTTACAATCTTGTTGCTATTTTATATATATATATTCCCTTGGTTACAAACTTGTTGCTATTTTATATTTATATACTCCCTTGGTTACCACCTTTTCATATTTTATATTTATACATTTCCTTGGTTACCACCTTTTTTTGTATTTATATTTATACATTTCCTTGGTTACACCCTTTTTGTCGTTTATATTTATACATTCCCTTGGTTACAACCTTTTCATATTTTATATTCATACAATCCCTTTGTAACAATGTTTTTGCTATTTCATATTTATATATTCCCTTGGTAAGCACAAGCAGGGAATGCCTTTTTCTATGGTGACAATACAGAATATATTAGGTTAGATAAAGCTTCATTGGAAAGAAAATTGGCTCGTTAGGCACTTTCATAAATATGCAAAATATTAAAAAATATCGAAATAGTAATTAAATAGCAAAATTTGAACGATACAATAAAGAGCATTAGGTCACTGGCTAAATTATGACATAGACATAGACCAAACCACCTAGTCAGTAACTTCAGATTGTTTGAAAAGTTCACAGAAATTATATTGTATACCTGTAACAATAAGTGATATGAGTTTTTGTTTGAAAACATTAAGTAGTAACAGAAGCCCTAACAAAGGCAATTGCATGTAAAAATCATTAACTGAGTTTAAGTTCTAAAACAAAAGTTTATTACAAATAATCAAAGCATGACCTTTATAAAATTTGAAAAAAAATCAAACCAAAGAAAGTGAGTATTATGAAGACCAATATTTTTAATAAAATAGCATTACTCATAGGAGATGGAGGTGGGGCCTGTGGCCAAAATACCTGTAATTCATGGTACCTCTCCAGTTTTTGTATTTTTAACGATTTAATTACTGTTTTTGACTGTTAAGTTGCCATGTTTGTGTAATTTACAGGACGATAAGACGGAGACCGTTGAGTCTGGAGGTGACGTGGTTGTCAACAACAGCGTCCCAAAGAAGTCCAATATCACCTACAAACAGACCGTGAGGAAGGATACTGGCATGTACACCTGTACCGTGGGCAATAAACACGGTTCCGACTCCGTCACCGTGGAAGTCGTGGTGCTTTGTAAATATTTTATTATATCATTTGCAATATTCATTTCATAACTGAAACCTGGTTACCAAAATAGCCATCTATATTGTGTGTATGGTAATGCCGATCAAAATGATTAACAACATCATAAAAATAACTTGTCTCCTTTATAGTGTGTTTATAGTCTTCCAGTTCTCTGATGTCATATTTTTAGCTCGCCTGGCCTGAAGTATATATTAAGAGTTTTCAATTAAACTGGATAGGTAGTCTGGTAGCTCAGTGGATAGCACCGCATCTTTCACTAAGACGGCAAGGGTTTGATTTCGATTGGACGTGAAAATGTACGGGTCACCTGCCTGACCATGAGGGGTTTTACTCTGAATTTCTCCTCTGACACTGCTATCTTGACCAATGCAATTATTAATATTAGTTGATAGAACTTGTTGCGCAAATAAAGAAAGTTAAATTAATTAACTGGTCTTAATATTTGAAATCTCTCTTTCAGCACCACCTACCAGACCTGAGGGTCCACTGGCTGTCAAGGACGTGACAAAGGACAGTGTAACACTTGAGTGGAAGGCTCCAAAGGATAACGGTGGCAATGACGTCAAGTAAGATTTCTGTTGGTAAAAAAGATTTGGGAAAAAAGGTAGATTCTTTGAATGTCATTCAAGAGCAAGAAAGCTACATATATTGGGATCTGTTGCTGTCAAGCATCAGATGCCCATCGTCTATCATCTGTCATACATCTCTTAACTGAGACAGGGTAGTCTATTGGTAGGTCGACGGGCTCGTGACCGAAGGGTTGAGGGTTCGAGTCACGTCACAGCACTGTGTTGTATCTTTGAACAAGATACTTTACTCGGCTTGTTCCAGTCTACTCAGCTGTAAATTAGTACGTGGTTGGGCAGAGCTAGAATTGTAGAATGCTAGCTGTTAGCGCCAAAATGGCAGCTCCGGACGTATGTTCCCCAGGGAGTTGAGAAAGGTATTGGCTGGATGCAAAGGCCCTATAACCACGGATAATAATTTGTGACCGCTTTGAGACGACCTATAAACTACTAGGTTTTGATAAAGCGGTATACAAAAACCTCGAATTATTATTATTATTATTCCAGAGGCTACAAAGTTGAGAAGTATGATACCAAGAAGGGCCGCTGGGAGCCTGTAAAGGATCTGGTTAAAGGAACCAGTCTGACTGTTCCAAAATTACAAGAAGGTCATGACTACAAGTTCAGAGTTGTTGCTGTCAGTGATAATGGCGAGAGCGAACCCCTGGAAACTGAGGAACCTGTCACAGCCAAAAATCCGTTTGGTAAGTTGAACAAAAGTGTCCAGAAAAATGTCAATTATCTAGAAATATCTCTACACTAATAAGTACTGCTGTTATCTAGAAATATCTCTGCACTTATAAGTACTGCTGTTGTCTAGAAATACCTCTACTCTTATAAGTGCTGCTGTTGTCTAGAAATACTTCTACACTTATAAATACTGCTGTTATCTAGAAATATCTCTACACTTATCAGAACTGCTGTTGTCTAGAAATACCTATACACTTATAAATACTGCTGTTGTCTAGAAAGATCTCTACACTTATAAGTACTTCTGTTGTCTAGAAATATCTCTACACTTATCAGAACTGCTGTTGTCTAGAAATTCCTCTACACTTATAAGTACTTCTGTTGTCTAGAAATATCTCTATACTTATAAGTACTGCTGTTATCTAGAAATATCTCTAAACTAATAAGTACTGCTGTTATCTAGAAATATCTCTACACTTTTATATACTGCTATTGTCTAGAAATACCTCTACTCTTATAAGTGCTGCTGTTGTCTAGAAATAGCTCTACACTTATAAGTACTTCTGTTGTGTAGAAATATCTCTACACTTTTATATACTGCTATTGTCTAGAAATACCTCTACTCTTATAAGTGCTGCTGTTGTCTAGAAATACCTATACACTTATAAATACTGCTATTGTCGAGAAATATCTCTACACTTATCAGAACTGCTGTTGTCTAGAAATACTTCTACACTTATAAATACTGCTATTGTCGAGAAATATCTCTACACTTATCAGAACTGCTGTTGTCTAGAAATACCTATACACTTATAAATACTGCTGTTGTCTAGAAATACTTCTACACTTATAAATACTGCTATTGTCGAGAAATATCTCTACACTTATCAGAACTGCTGTTGTCTAGAAATACCTATACACTTATAAATACTGCTGTTGTCTATAAATATCTCTACACTTATAAATTCTGCTATTGTCTAGAAATACCTCTACTCTTATAAGTGCTGCTGTTGTCTAGAAATACCTCTACTCTTATAAGTGCTGCTGTTGTCTAGAAATACTTCTACACTTATAAATACTGCTATTGTCGAGAAATATCTCTACACTTATCAGAACTGCTGTTGTCTAGAAATACCTCTACTCTTATAAGTGCTGCTGTTGTCTAGAAATACCTCTACTCTTATAAGTGCTGCTGTTGTCTAGAAATACCTATACACTTATAAATACTGCTGTTGTCTAGAAATACCTCTACACTTATAAGTTCTGCTGTTGTCTAGAAATACCTATACACTTATAAATACTGCTATTGTCTAGGAATACCTCTACACTTATAAATACTGCTGTTATCTAGAAATATCTCTACACTAATAAGTACTGCTGTTATCTAGAAATATCTCTACACGTATAAGTACTGCTGTTGTCTATAAATATCTCTACACTTATAAGTTCTGCTGTTGTCTAGAAATACCTATACACTTATAAATACTGCTATTGTCGAGAAATATCTCTACACTTATAATTACTGCTGTTGTCTAGAAAGATCTCTACACTTATAAGTACTTCTGTTGTGTAGAAATATCTCTACACTTATCAGAACTGCTGTTGTCTAGAAATACCTCTACTCTTATAAGTGCTGCTGTTGTCTAGAAATACCTCTACTCTTATAAGTGCTGCTGTTGTCTAGAAATATCTCCACACTTATAAATACTGCTATTGTCGAGAAATATCTCTACACTTATCAGAACTGCTGTTGTCTAGAAATACCTCTACTCTTATAAGTGCTGCTGTTGTCTAGAAATACCTATACACTTATAAATACTGCTGTTGTCTAGAAATATCTCTACACGTATAAGTACTGCTGTTGTCTAGAAATACATCTTTTTGGAAAGTGATATCTAGAAAGATGGTCATGTCTGGTATTCTTGCTGTGTAAATGTGTGACTGTTCCATTTCATTATTACAATACCAAGTACAATAGGTGTGACCTTGACTTTGTATTGATGACCTATTAGTTATAACAATATCAAAAATTGCAGTCACTGTGTTGACCCTGCGTTTTAATTGATGATCTTACAATACAAACTGCTAAATAAAAACCTTGAATTTCAACAACATATGTTTTGTGATTGCAGACGAACCCTTCCCACCTGGCCAGCCCCAAGTTGCCGACCAAAACAGGGACCACATCACCATAAAGTGGGAACCACCAGAGAGCGATGGTGGCAACCCTATTCAGGGCTACAATGTTGAGAGAAAAGAACCAAAGAGCAACCGCTGGGTCAAGGTCAACAGGGACCCTGTCAAGGTCAGCAGCATTTACAATTTATATGGATAAAATGCTTAAGTTATGATCAGTATGTCTTATGAACCCTTTCACCACTGTAGACCATAATGGACTCATCTAGATCAAAGCATGGTAGAGTCTACTAAAGATGCATAGGGGTGAAAGGGTTCAAAGGGTTCAAAACTGATGTCAATTGAATGAAAAGTAGTTCATCGACATTTTCATTGCGCATATTTGTAGTAATTACTTGAAGTTTTAGATTTATGGGAAGAAATAGTTGTAAAACTTTGCTGATGTTATTTCCTTTTTTGACTTTCCAGGATTTAGAGTTTGAAGATGCGAAGGTTGTTGATGGGAAGGAATATGAATACAGGGTGATGGCAGTGAATGAGGCTGGCACCTCTGAGCCGAGTGTGGCTTCCAAACCCATCTGTGCCAAACCCACCAAAGGTATAGATGGCCTTGCTGTCTATTTTCACTATTATGTACAATCACTATCTAAGAATTCAAATCTGATTCATTGATTGCTGAGAATTTGTGAAAGTCAAAATAGGATAAATTTTATCTGAAGGTGAAATTAATGATTTTACACAATTCTGATTGAATGTAAGTTGTATATATATAGTCATTACATTTCTTATCACATCAAATAACGGATAATTATCACATATAATTATTTTTGCGTATATTATTTGTTACATATAATACACAAAAAATTAATGAAAGGTGTTTTTTATAATCTGTCTATGTTAAGTGGTGATTATTGATCCCAAACAAAATGAATACGCTATGAAAAATGTTTCCTGTATTCAAATAGAGGCTCCCAAAGTCAACTTGGATGCCCTGTATGGTGCAAAGGAAATTCGTGTGAGGGCTGGTGAGCCCCTTAACATCAAACTGGGTATCTCTGGAGCCCCAACCCCTACTGTCACCTGGCAGAAAGATGGCCGCCCTCTTACACCTAGGGTACGTCATTACATAAGAGTATTGGACAATGTTTGGGTTCCCTGAGGCTCAGATGATCTATTGCCATCAGTCTCCATCTATCATCATCTTTCGCCCATTAACAATTCACATTTCAGACATCTCCTAAAAACCATATATGTCTATAGTCGTTGCGTTTGACCACACAATAGCTGTGATGGACAACTGATAAAGTTGTTCAAACAAGCGATTGTGACTTTTTATTCCAGGTCACAGGGTTCAAATATGCTAAACTCTTTGTCCGACTCCTCAAGGTTCATAGTACCCTAGGTCGTTATATTTGACCTGTAGGTAACTGAAGTGCTTACAAACTTGTTCAAATAGCTTCAATTGACCGTCAGTCAAGGTCACAAAGGTCAATATATGTTAAAACTTTTAAAGGTCAGCTTGAGTGCATCAACACATCATGCTATATTATTCATTAACCAGAACAATGAAAATCAGTCAAATCTTAAAGCATATCAAGTAATATGTTTTTCTGCTATATATCAATCAATGCATCACCAATTTTTCAGGCTGGAACTTCAAACAATGAGGATTCTGCAAAATTGAATGTGCCTAAGGCAGAGAGAGGTGATACAGGTAAATACACCGTGACAGTGTCCAATGAGAGTGGTACACACTCCGCCGACATCCCCGTTGTTGTTCTGGATGCGCCTGGGGCTCCGGAGGGACCCCTTGATGTCAGTGATGTGTTTGCAGAAAGCTGTCTGTTGTCATGGAAGAAACCAGAGGACAATGGAGGAGCAGATGTCACAGGTATGTCTATAACAAGGTCATCGACACATAGGGCAGTGTGGCTGTAGGTGTGGTGGCTGTAGGTGTGGCTGTAGGTGTGGCTGTAGGTGTGGTGACTGTAGGTGTGGCTGTAGCTGTAGGATTGGCTGTAGGTGTAGCTGTAGCTGTAGGTGTGGTGGCTGTAGGTGTAGGTGTAGGTGTGGTGGCTGTAGGTGT